ACACACACACACACACAAGCACACATCTTCATTCTTCTGTTTTGCCTGAAATTTGAGTTCCTATGTTTAGGTTAATTCTATACGCAGCATGTTTAGATGGTTCTGACCCAGTTCGCCTTTTCGAGAAAAGGCTGAGTGCTAGAAGAGGTAATTCCAGCATTTTTGTCATTATTTCTCATTATCCTGTCTTTTTATATTTGTGTTGCAGCAGTCTTTGCTGTTTTGTGCATCTGTTAGTTTTTCTTCTTCTTCTACTTCTTTTTCAGTTTTCCTACTTGGAAATTGAGAATGAAAATGTAACTTTGTCATGTTATTTTGATTCCTTTCAGAACCTGGCTATGAGTTTGACAAGGTGTTGTTGATGGAATACGACCACATGAGCTTTGGAGGGCCTCCGGTTACCACCGAAACAGCTGAAGAAGCTGATGATATTTTGCAAAATGATGAAAAGGAGTCTGGCATTGGTAATTAATGTCTATGCTATCAACACCCTGTGTGTGCCATGTACTTAGACTGGTAGAGTTGTTCTGGTTGGCATGCATAAACCTTTTATATTGGGATATACCGAGGATCTGTTCTTGTGTGTGAGTGTTGGGGGTTGGGTAGGACTAATGGGAAGGGGACAGATGTGAGCAAGCTCGATTGATCGTTAGGAAAAAAAGAAAGAAAGAATGGGAATGGATGGGGAGTGAAGGTGTTTGTGGATTACTTCATCAATGGACTTTAAACGTTGAATCGAATTATAACGTTTTCTTATATCCAGTAAAAACAATCACTTTTCGGATATCTAAAGAGGGCCTGTTCTGAGCCTTAAGAGCCTTTGGACATAGTAAGGTTAGTAATCATATCCACAGATCAATCGACTAGAACTTGGTTAATAGCTATATTGGAGCTAAAGGAACAACGGTCATTAGTATTTAAAGGCACTACATGACCAGATGTCCAGATATTTAGAGAGCTTCAACAACAATTCAAGATTTTACTAATTCATGATTTTATATTGCATTTTGTTTGTTTCTAGGGAACTAGTTTTCGTCCATGAGAGTCATGTTAAACTGATGCAGCCTGAATGATAAACGTATATGCATACTATGCCATTAGGAAGCTACATGGCGTCCAGAGGGGGCACCTGCATCCTCTATACAAATGGAAACAATTCTAACAATCATGTTTTTCGAGCTTACCCCGTGTTGGTCATAGAATTTTCCCTGACCCTTCATTTTAAATCATGGCAAGATGTACTTTTACCCCCTATTTTAGATACATTGTCGGGCTACATTCGCCTTTGATAATTCATAATTTATTATTGTTCTATTATATATGTGCCTTTTTTTATGAAATTATATATCATTGAGCATTTCCCTTCCTCAAACTATATTTTTGGGTTCGTCCATGTCTGCAGAAGCTGAGGTTCTTTCAGCACCTCCGAAGTTGGTATACAGCAAATTAATTCTGCGGTGTGTCACTAAATTATCAACTAAGTTTAATCAATTTTGCATGCAACAAGTGCATGAAGTTTTAATAGTTTGCATGCGACTGTGAATATCTTCATGTCTATTAGTAAAGTTTATTGATATATAAATATATTTTAATACTTTGCAGTTTTACACGAAAACTTTTGGTAGCAGTGACAGAGAAGTGGGACAATAATGTGCTTGCAATTGGTAAAGTTGCACCCAGTAATTGGAAGGTGTGGTTTTCACTCTTTGATACATAAATCCTTAGGCAATGTTTGAATTGAGGGGTTTGAAATCCCTTTATTTCGAATCCTTTGAGATTTAAATTTGCCACTTTCAAACTCGTTGAATGGATTTGCGGAAAGGATTATAAATCCATTGTCTAGCTCGCATCGATGGTGTTGGCTCGTGGTGGTGATGAATCTGAATGAAGATTCATAGAAGGTGTGGTCGTCAACGGTGCGATAAACAGTTGATTTCAAATGACTAGGTTTGAGGAGTCATTTAAAATCCTTCAAAATAATGAAAGTCTATAATGCGTGAATTTGAAATCTTTCAACCTCTATTATCATCCAAACATGTATGGGTATTTGAACTTGTAAATTTGAAATCTATAGACTTCAAATCCCTCAATCCAAACACAGCCGTAGTGTATTTGTAATTTCTGTCTGGCTATTTGCTGAAGAGAACTATGCACATAAGTAGCACCATAGTTATTAAAGGCGTATGACAACCTGTGGCGATTTGTTAATGGCCTGGCCCCAAGGTGCCAGGCGAGACCATGGTGCCGCCTTGTGAACATGACACGACATTTGGGGTAAACAATAGAAAATATATGATACAATACATAATTAAGTGCATATTGCAGAATAACACTCTTCCAAACATAGAAGAATATTTGTGTTCATCAGAAAATCAGATTCTGTGAAGCTTTGAAAAGGAACAATTCGCTGCATATGTGTGTGCACGAGTGTCATCTCTTGAAGTATCAAATCTTGGCACCATTATGGTGCCCTTGATTTATTTGGTCTGCTAAGTAAATATCATCTCAACCTTTAATTCTTGTACCAAGCTATATTTAAATGGTGAAATGAGTATCTTAATTGTAAAATTCTAGGATTGTACTGGTGATAGAATATTGTTCAACTATCCAATATGACAACTTTTAGAAAATATTAAAAAAAAGTTAAGTTCTATTGTTATTAATATTTGAATGGAATATACATCTTCAATAGTTGAGAAAGAGCTGCATTATTCGGAATATATGAATTCAGTATGTTTAAGGCTAAGTTGTTATTCTGTTACTATCTATTGAATTCTTTGTACATAGAAGTGTTTTAATGAAGAAATGCAAACTGTAAATGTTAGCAAGTTATATATCATTGCAGCCCTGATAGAACATTATGTTTTGGAGCTAGTCAAGGTTCTGTTTTTTATATTTTGAACTTGTAAAAAATATGATGCAGTTGTCTGGTCGTTTCATTCATTATGAACTGTGTTGCGATGCCTTTCTTGTTCTGTTGTGTTGTACCAGAACCAGCCAGCTGCTCGAATTCTGGAGTTTTCAGTTCTTCACTTAGCAATGTCAGAAATTGCAGTTCTTGGTACAAGGCATCAAATAGTAATTAATGAGGTTGGTTGGTCCTATTTTTTCAACCTTTCAAATAAACAGCTACTAATGTCATAATTATTGTTCTTTGTTGACGAGTAATGTTTTCTCCATCAGAGCATCAACATGTTTGAGCATTTTACAAATTCTATTTATATTTAGGAGTAATACTTATTTCTGCTAATGCATAGATATACACCATGAAATCACTTTGTCACACTCCATGCAAATATGTGTGTGTGGGCATATTTTTTGCTTTGTGATATGAGGAATGACATGTTGGAGTCGAGGGGTGGCATGCATTTAGGGCTCTCCTCTCTTTGTTACTAATGTACCTCTTTCTTTCTTTGTAGGCTGTTGACCTTGCAAAGCGTTTTTGTGATGGGGCAGCGCCTCGTATTATCAATGGCTGTTTGCGGACTTTTGTGAAAGAGCTCAACCAAAATGGTGAGACCGAAAACGTGAAAATCGTACACACTGTATGAGTGTTAGTTGGTTTCCAGCAATCTTTACATGCATTGAGCTAAAGCTATGTATGTAAGTGCTACACTAGTGGAGAGGAGATGAACCTTGGCCGATGTGTCGGTCGGCTCTTGGACTGCTCATAGAGCCAGTTACATCCAATCTTTTTACCATTTCCTCCTCCAGGTCGTTCGTTCTACATGATATAATGAGCGGGTGTTTGTAAAGCCATTTTCACATTGCGGAGAATTATGCTTTTGGGACTCTGTTGTATGTTGTCCTCCACTGTGGATATACTTTATTTTGATAATCATGAAGTAAGCGTTGGTTGTTTTGCTGTGTTTTTTTAGTGGGTGAGTTTTTCTCCAATTGTGGAGTTTGTTTGTGTTTGTGGTTTTGCTGTGTTTTTTTAGTGGGTGAGTTGTTTTATTGAACTTCTAGGCGATCATCGAGATCTGTCCTCCCACTAAATTCGGCTTTTGAGCTGTTCTTTCGACTTTTGAGCTGTTTCTAGATGTATATATGTGTTTTCTTATTAATAAAATTTCTATCGTTTTGAAA